CGGAGTTAACTCCTCCCCTGCCGGCCCGCAGCCCGGGGACCTAGGACGCGGGCTCTCCAGCGCGGAGGGGACGGCACGCGGGGGCAGAGTAGCTCTTGGAGAGGAAGGGAGAGGGTGGTGGCCAAGGGATAGGGACCCTACCGTTTCCACCCCTCTGGCAGGGCGCCTGTTCCCCGGGAGAGGGCAGCAAGAATCTGCTGCCCTGCCCCCAACTCAGGAATCCTAGAATTAAGAAAGATCCTTTTTTTCTAAACCTGTTCTAAGAGCCAAAACCTGCGCTGAGGGAAGTCCTTCTGGGTGTCTAGCCTGCACTCCTTTTGTTATGATGTCTGCTCCTTCCCTCTTCTACTTTACTTGGAGGGGCTGAGATAATCCCTGGACCTCCTGGGTCCAGCCACTGTGACAGGAAGTATTTGGCTGGGCCCCCGAGCTGAAAAGGCTGATAGGAGCCGGGCTAGATTCTGGGGCCGCCGGCAGGTCCTGAGAAGCTGGAGAGTGAAGGGAGCAAGGCCTTCCTGGAGGCTGTCCCTTCATTATTCACTACTTGCCCTCTCTAAGCCACAGGGGTCACCAGGCCGACAGCGGCTCCTGTCCCAGCGGGGTCTCTGCAAATCTCCAGGGCAAGGAGGAAGAACACAACCCTGATCTGAGATTCCCGAAGTTGGGGCCCATCCTGCATCACCCCCACTCCATATCTTCAGGTCTCCCTCCTGGAATTCCAGGGTCCCTTTAGTCTTTAGAAAAATGAAAGGTCAAGTCCTGGCACCCCTTGGAGGCTATGAAGGTGAGGAGGCACCCCATCATTTGAAGTGGTCCCCGCTTGGGCTGGGCACAAGGGGCACAGTGGGTGGGCACTCTGCTCTGTGGCCCTCCAAGGCCCAGCTTGGTCCCGTGGCTGCAACCCCGGCACGCACCCAGCCTCCTCCCCCACCATCTGCCAGGCGGGTGCGCGGGGAATGCAGATGAATCTTAATATCAGCCTGGGCCAAGTGCGATGAGGGAGACAGATTCTGCAAAACCCAGACAGCATCACAGAACCCCCTGCATTTCCAGGCACCCTGGGCCGTACCAAGATGCAACAGCTCTTTCCTGGTGGGGGGGTGGGGGGGTGGAGGCGTGCATGTCTAGTCAAAGACCCCCCATAGCCGGGGGAGGAAGGAACAGGCAAATCTTTGTTTGGCCTCTAAGCCTCTGGTCCGGCTGGGAGGGAGAAGCTGTTGGCCTGAGTGTGGGCAGCTGGTTCCGGCGCTCAGCTAGGCAGGGGCGTAGCTGGGCCCACTCCTTGTCTGGTTTCCAGAAGGTCCTGTCCCTAGGAGAGCTGTGTGGCCCAGCAGAAAGAGCACAGGTTTTCAGGCCAGACAGTCCCAGATTCTGTTCCAGACCTGGCTGTGTGACCTTGGGCAGGTTACTTTGGTTCTCTGATGTCCGTTTCCTGATCTGTTCTTGCAAGAACCAAATGAGACAAAATGTGCAAACAAAGCGCAGGCACAATGGCTGGCGGGCAGTCGTAGGAGTGCAATAAACGGAAGTTCTCGCTCCTCCACTTCCCACACATTTGCTGTGGCTGCTCCTCCTGCCAGGCTTGCCCTTACTCCCCTCTTGGTCATTTCTGGCTCTCACTTTGTTCAAGTTTCCCCTCCGCATTTATCCATCACCCACTGGCCGAGCCTGTCCGCCGTGCCAGGCGCCAGGCCAGGGGTTGAGATAGAGATGAATGGGACACCGTCCCTGCCCTCAAGGATCTCATCGGCAAGTATGGAACAGAGACATGAAAATCGATAATTATAACTCAGTGTGGTGAGTGGAATAACAGATCCTTGAACAAGGAAGACGTTATGGATGCACGGAGGAAGCTGGGGGCAGGGGCGGGAGGGTCAGAGATGGCTTCCTGGAGGAGGTGATACTGCAGTTGTGAGGAAAGAGCCCGCCTGGCAAGGGCTATTCCTGGCAGAGGGCACTGAATGACTAAAGGTCTGGAGGCTGGAACTGGAAGCAGTTTGCTGTTCCCGGAGCACAGAGTGGGAGGAGGGGAGGCTGGGGCCAGATGATGGAGGGTCAAGGGGTTGGGATCTTTGTTTACAAGGAATGTTTGAAGGATTTTAATGGGACTGTGATTATAGTTAGATTTGCATTTTAAAAGCTTTTGGAGAATCCCCTGGACTAGAGGGAGGGAGAGGAGAGGAAATCATTAGGAGACAAATGCAGTGGTTTGGGGGCAGGGGGCAGGCAGGCTGAAGGCATCTTTAGGAGGCAAAATGATCGGGATTTGGTTGTTACTGAGGTGAGGCAGGAAGGCAGAGAGGAAGGCAGGTGTGATACCCAGTTCCCTGGCTTGAGCAACAGGCTGGATAGTTGACGAGGTGGGTACCATAGGTGGGAGGAGAGGGATGGGGTCTGTGGTGAGGGTGGGAGGGTCATCTTTGACCATGTCAAGTCTGTGTGCTGTCAGCCACCCAGGGGCAGGAGAAAGTCTAGCCTGGGGTGCTGGAGGTATGGAGGGTGCCAGAGGAGCACTGGGCACCCTGGCATTTAAGGTAAGGTGGTCAGAGGAAAAGAACCCCCAAAGGCTTCCAGGGAGGAACAGGGAGCCAGGGGCTAGGAGGACAGCTGGGGCTGATCCTGAAGCCACAGGAGAAGTGGGGCTTTCATGCTCAAAGTGCCAAGCAGAGTGGACACGGTGTGGAGTATGCACCGTGCAGATTCTGGGGTCCCATCCCCAGGGAGCCTTAGTTGGTAGACAGGAACCCAGGACTACATATTACATAAGCTCCTGTCCCCACCCAAGTGATGCTGATGAAGGTGGCCTCTAGACCTGGGTGTGGGGAGTGTCAGGAAGAGGGGAATGAACCACAGCAGAGAGACCTGGCAAGGGAGAGACAGAAAAGTGACCACTAGGTTTGGCTGAGGTTTGACAACAACTGTTCCCAACCTTGGGCCCTCCAGCACTCCCAGGTTGGGAAGACAGATCCAAGACACGTAAACTCTGCACCAAGCACACTCACAGCTGTGCTAGAGGTGATGTGTCTGCCATTCAGGCACACCTCTCCGTATTCCCCACCCCTCCCCAGCCATACCCTGCACATAGCAGATGCTCAGTGATGGGGGCAGAACTGAGCGCTTTAGGTAGACCCCTCTGCCTCCAGCCTTCCCTGTGCCCATTTGCACCCTGGATGGGGGTGGCTGGGCGTTTGCTGAGCACCCCTGTTGTTTTCACCTGCTTCCCTCTCACCCTTGGAAGAATCCTGTCTATATTGCTTCCTTCCTCCATGCTTCCCCAGTGCTGCCGGAAGGAAAACAACGCAACACAGTGGGCACCTGAGCAGTGCCTCGTGAATGAATGGGAAATGGGGTTCCTAATGGTTTGAAAAGCAGACAGAGTGATGCCCTTGAGCCAGCTACAGTGGAGAGGTCTGGGGGAGAGCGAGAGTAGATCATTATTGTTGATAATCTCTCATGTTTAGCTGGCAATTTGCAATTTTAAAGTGTTAGGATAGAGTGCTATGTATAGGGTACCAAGGGGGCCTGGAGGGAAACCCTAATTCAAATGAGGGGGCGATGGGCAGGTTGCAGAGAGATTCATCTTAAATGACGTGTGGATCTGCCCAGGTGGGAGGGAATGGAAAGAACCTTCCAGGCAGAGGAAGCAACTCTTACAAAGGCCAGAGATGAAAGAAAGCCTGGGAATGGGGTTCTGATGAGGACGAGATGAAAGATTCATTTGTTCCACAAATACTTATCAAGTGTCTACTTTTATGTCCGGTCCTGGGCTTGTGTGGAGGTACAGTGTGAACAGGAGAGACTGCAGTCCTATTTGCATGGAGAATTTGGGCTATAGGAGAGACAGACATTAAATAACTAAGCACATGAAAACATAAGCTCTGAGATGTGTTGGCAAGAGGTATGGGGGAAGAAGAACAGCAAATTCCAAGCAAAAGATAAACTAAAGAGGGATCTTAATTTACCTGGGAGGGGTCAGGGAATGCCTCTGTGAGAATGTGACCTTTCAGCTGGGATCTAAAGGATGAAAAGCTGGATAGAGGAGCTGCACCTGCTGAGACCCTGAGCCTAGGAAGAACTCGGTGCTTTGGAGGAGCTGAAGGGAGCTGAGCTTAGTGAATGCGGGGAGAATGACACAACACCGCCAGAGAGGTGGCGGGGGCCAGACCATGCAGGGCTTTACGGGTCTAGCTAAGGGTTTAGGGTTTCATCCTGTGGTTAAGGTGTCTTTGTTTCTGTTTTGATTATGAGGTTTAAACACGGCTGGGATTTGCACTTTAGGAAGATCTCTGGAAAGACCATTCTGGCAGCAGTGTGGAGGGTGGGTCTGAGAGGGTGGGTGAAACTAGAGCCTGGGAGGCGATGGTGGCCTGAATCAGAGCAGAGGCATCTGCTGGGAAGAAGGGATGACCTTGAAAGATGTCTAAGGGGTGGAATGGAGAGGGGACAGACTAGGACACGGGA